TGTGATCTGGAAGAATGGGAATATGGAGGTATGCCTCTGTGAGGTCAATGGAGGAGAGAAGGTCATTGGGCTGAATGCTCTCCAGAATGGACAACGGAGAATGCATTTTAAACCTCCAGTAGACTTTAAATTTGTTTAGAAATTTGAGGTCGAGAATTGCTCTCCAACCCCCCGAAGACTTAGGCACTATAAAGAGACGGGAGTAAAACCCCCACCCTTGTTGCTCAAGGGGAACCTCCTCAATGGCCTGAATCTGGAGGAGATGCCCGATAGTTAGATCAACCAGATGTTTTTTGGAAATGTCCCTGGAGACGGGACAAGGTACAAAAGTCTGCGGGGGGCTGGAAAGAAACTCCAGAGCGAGACCAAAACGGATGGTACATCTGATCCAGGGGTCGCTGGTGATGTCATCCCAGCGAAGACGGACAGACAGCCCCCAATAGGGAGGTGGTCAGAAATTTCACTTCTGTTTCCAAAAGTGGCGATTTGAACCGTCCTTGAAGGGCTTCCTATAGGGGAAACATTGGGAGTTCTGGTTGGACCTGTCCTAGAACTGCTGGCCTTGTCTCAGGGGAGCCTGACGCTGAGGACGGGGGTAGGCAAATCCCCCGTCCGTCCCACGAAAGGACGACCTGTGGAAGAAAGGAGGAGGTTTAGGGTCAGACTTGCGGTTTGCAGAAGGAAGCACCTTGCGCTTGTCCTTGGATTCAACCAAAAGAGGTTCCAGAGGAGGACCAAAGAGTAGGCCGGGTGAGAAGGGTGCGGACGCTAAGCGTCACTTTGCTCTGGTCTCTGCTTGCGACTGCTTCAGCCAAAGAAGATGCCTCGTGCTGATGTTAGAAGCCATGGACCTGGAAGAGAAATGTGCTGCATCCAGAGAGGCATCTGCCGCGTACTCCATTTCTGCCTTAAGCTTGTTGATATCCTGGTGAGCGCAGGAATCTCCAGGGGGAATCCTGTCCTGCATCTGCTTGAGCCATCGAAGGGCAGCCCTGTTGAAAAAAGAAGAGGCGGCCTTGACCGCCCATGTGGCGGACTGATGGCTCTTTACCAGTGACTGCTCAAAGTGTTTGTCCTCAGGGTGCAGGGCGTCCTCTGGTGCGGTGGTGGCCGCGTTAGGTGATGACAAGGAAACCACTGGCAGATCAATGGAAGGAACCTCCAAAGGTTTAGAGAGCTCTAGGCTGACATTTTACAACTGTTTGTCCAACGTAGAAGGAAGGGGCCCTGACCCTGGATTTTGAATCACCTCCAGAAATAGTTTCAGGGAAGGAACAATGTCCTTCTCAACGGGAGGGCGAGAGAAGAGGGGGTCAGTGGTATCTGACTTGTCTGCCTCTGAGGAGAAGGATGGTTTGGAGGCCGGAATACCAGAGACCTTCTTGGCCTTAAATAATTGAATTGAATTGAATTGAATTTTATTATTTGTATGCCGCCCTTCTCCGGGAAGGACTCAGGGCGGCGAACAATTCAAAAAGGGAAAAGG